GTTCTTTCAGTGGGTGCCTTGCCAGCTGTCGTGGTTGCTCCTGACTTCTGAAATAGTAACAAGGAGACCCTTTGAGAGATAAGGAATAGGAACGTCTCTGTAGCAAGCATGTTTATTCACTGGTTTATCATCCCAGGGACAAGGTCAGAGGTGTGGGACGAGGCAGGAGAGCAGAGGCCTCTCAGTCTTGTTCTGGGTTCCTTGGGCATTTGAGCAGCGTTAGCCGGCATCTTTCTCTTTTCCTGCACCCACATTCCCTTCCAGCAAGGTTCCCTAAGACACCCACAAAAGGGCTTTGCCAGATGCTGGGAAGAAAATGCCCATCATTTTTCAAATGATGAAATAATGGCACTGATGCTTGATCCTGATTCTGATTTGTGGCTGAACGATTGGGAAAAAGGCCTTTTCTTTGCACCATTTAAAAAAAAATTGCTAACTAGACCTGCTTTTCAGAGCTCTCAAGAGGATAAAGTATTCTGATAACAGGTGGTAACTCTGCTGTGTTCTGTTGTTTCAATGGTTCCTTGGGGATGACCAGTCTCAAAGATGACAAAGAACTGGTGCCCTGGGCAGGCATCAGATGTTCTGAGACACGTGACACAGCTCCACGAGTGGCCAACATTAGCCCCTATGCTCTTGGGCAACACTAACGCTTTAGAAAGAGGTGGCAACACTCTGGCCAGCTGGGAGACCAGAGGAGACCGAGCGGATCAAAGTTGGGGTTGGGTTTGGGGAGGGGGCTGTCTTCCCTTCCAATCTCCCTGCTGACAGACGGGCACTAGAGGGTAGTGCCAGCGGGCATGATGGGAGCAACTTGCCCTTCAAAACCATATGCTTTTCTCTTTTGTGATTCTGAACTCTCCTGAGCCCCTGATTTTTTTTTTATTGTGGTAAAATATACAAAACACACATTTTACCATTTTAATCATTTTTAAGTGTGCAGTTCAGTGGCATTAAGTACATTCACATTACTGTGCAACCATCACCACCATCCATCTCCAGAACTTTCTCATCTTCCCAAACTGAAACTCTGCACCCGTTAAACAATAACACCTTATCCCCCCTCCCCAGAGCCCCTGGCAACTACTGTTCTACTTTCTGCCTGTATGGATTTGACTCTTCTACATATTTCATATAAGTGGAATCATACAGTATTTGTCCTTCTGTGACTGGCTTATTTCATTTAAGATAATGTCCTCAAGGTTAATCCATGTTATAGCGCATGACAGGATTTCCTTCCTATTTTTTTTGGTGAGGAGGATTAGCCCTGAGCTAACATCTGTTGCCAATCCTCCTCTTTTTGTTGAGAAAGATTGGCCCTGGGCTAACATCGGTGCCCATCTTTCTCTACTTTATATGTGGGACACCGCCACAGCATGGCTTGACGAGCGGTGCGTAGGTCTGTGCCCAGGATCCAAACCTGTGAACCCTGGGCCGCTGAAGCAGAGTGCATGAACTTAACCACTATGCCACCAGGCCAGCACCTCTTTCCTTTTTTAAGGCTAAATAGTATTCCATTGTATGTATATATAATATTTTGTTTATCCGTGTGTCCGTTGATGGACACGAATTGCTTCTGCCTTTTGGCTTCTATGACTAATGCCACTGTGAACATGGGTGTGAATGTATTTGTTCAGTCCTAAGCCCCACCCTGGGGCAGTAACTGCTGGGCTCCAGCAGAACTCCCAGGGGCCCTGACCACCCGGGTAGCTCTTTGCTTTGTCCATGAGCCTCCAGTGGTTATAACCACACGGCCCTGTCTCTGGGGGCCTGACCTCCACAGGGAAGAGGGGAAATGGCCCTGCTGACTCTTCCAGGGGCAGTGCTGGACCATGGACCAGAGGTCATGGACAGACTGAAGAATGCTTTAAGGCAGAGCCAGGTCGCAAAATTCAATGCTGTTTCAAGTGGAACCCAAATTTTCTTCCTTTCAACATAAAGCTCCTGAAATTCAAAGATTGCAGAAGAGTTTCTCAGGAAGCAAGGAACATGTCACTTTTGCTTCAGGCTCAGGCCACTGAGCTCACAGGACCCAGGTCTCCTCTAGATGGGCAACACCCAGGCCTGAGAGGATGGAGAGGGTGGCCAAGGGTAGTTCTGTCCATCTGTAGATATCCACCGGGGGCACTACACAGGAGGCCACTGGATTGAAAGAAACCCTTCACCAAGACTGCAGATGATCTCAGAAGGCCCCAACTCAACTCAGCATGTCCCTACCTGCTCCTTGATGCTTAAATTCCCCCACGTGGACCCAGCTCAGTCTCCATGGTGAGGACTTGGGCTGCGGGCACTACTCACTGCCCCTGGGAGAGATGTATGGGGATGGACACTCACCTGGTGTGGAACTGTCTCATCCCCATCCTGCCTGACTCAGAGCAAGACCCAGAGGGGATAGAGGAGAGAGTGAGAGGGCACTGGTGGTGTGATGGAGGAGTGAGAGGAGGTGACATTCATTACCACTGGAGAAAAGGCATTTTCTTTGCTCCAACTCGGGGGACAAACACTGGCATTCAGCATCTGCCAAGAAGAAGGGCTGTGGTAAATATCCCAGGATGTCAGTTGAGACCATGAAGGGCTACATCCATGAGTAAAAGTCACCTGGAAACAGACCACTTTCAGAAGCTCTGCTTCAAATCTTCAAAGAACTGAAATAAAATAATTAACAACCTAGTATTCTATAACTAGCAAAAATATTCTTCAAAAATGAAGGCAAAATAAAAATATTTTCAAACAATCAAAAAGGAGAGAACTCTCATAAATTTCAAAAAATTAAAATGGTTCAGAGTATGTTCTCTGTTCATGGTAGATGACTGCAACAAAAATTTAATTTGAAAACATCTAGCTGCCTGTAAATTTAATAGTATATTTCCAAATAATCTAAGATCAAAGAAGAAATCATATAGGAAATAAGAAAATACTTTGAATTAAAAGCTAATTAACATATGATGTAGCAAAACTTCTGAGATGCAGCCAAAGCAGGGCTTTAGAGAAAAATTCATAGTCTTAAATCCATATGTTAGAATGATTGCAGAACACTGAGAGGAGAGAGGATGGAGACTTGGCTGAACCCCTAGGACAGGGGCACCCATGGAAGTAGAACTGTTTAGTAAGCAGGCAGTTTTTTAAAAAAAACTAAAAGAAGTATCAACAAGATCCAGCCCAAAATAAATCCTTAAGAGAGTTCTTTAGGGGGAAGGGAAATGATCCCAGTGGAAACAAGGTAGTGTTGAAGGAATGATGCCCAGCAGAAGGGTAAGTATGTTGCTAAATTCAAACGAATAATGAAAGTATAAAACAGCAATCATATTGTTTTATGGGCTTTCAAATATGTAGAATTTAACACATGACAACAATAACACCCAGGCAGAGGGGGGTTAGGAGTAATAGTGTTCTAAGGTCTTCCCATCATCCTTGAAATGGTAATGGTACTAATTTACTGTAGACTCAATTAAGTCAATGATGTTCGTTACAATCACTAGAATTACCACTAAAAGAAGAGTAAAAGGAATGGTAAATAAAGCCATTGAGAGGAAGAAACGGAATAGTAAAAGATCTTGAATAATCCAAAAGATTGCAAGAAAGGAGAAAAGAAGGAACAGAGACAAATGAAATGAATAGAAAACAAATAGTAATACAGTGGATTTGAACACTGACATACCAGTTATGGTAATATTAATTATCAGTGATCAGTAATATGAGTCTTTGTAAATGGAATAAATACTTCAAGTGAAAGACTGTTAGATTGATTTAAAACACTATTTGGTGCTTCAAAGCCATCTGAATTAGTAAGCTACCATCTGCAGGTAAAAAGATGGATGAAGATGTCTCATGAGAACAAAGCTGATGCAGCTAGTCTGACATTGGACAAAGTGGACTTTAGAGCAAGAAGCATTCCTTGGGATAGAAAGGTACAACTCATAATGGTAAAATGGTTGACCACCAAAAAGGTGTAACAGTTCTATTCGTATAAGCACTTAATGACAGAGTCTCAAAATACATAAAGCAAGAATTGTGAGAAAAAAAGGAACAGGCAAATTCACAATCATAATCATAGTAAAAGATTTTAACACATCTCCCAGTAACTGACAGAGAATAAGACCCAAACCCAACCAAACCAAATTTGATAAAACAAAAATAGTAAAAAGAGTAAATACGTGGAGGATTTGAACAAAATGGTGTACTGAGATACGTAGACATCTAACTCTGCACCTAAAAATGCGGAATACACATTCTTTTCAAGAACATATAGAATATTGGCCATATTCTGGGCAATAGAAGAAATCTCAACAAATTTCAAAGAAGACAAATAATAGAAAAGATGTTCTCTGACCATAGTGGACCTGAGCGGGTAGTCAATAAGGGAAAAAATAATTAGAAAATTGGCTATGGTTAGAAATTAAACAATACAGCTATAATAGCCCACAGGTCAAGAATGAAGTCACAGTGGAAAAGAGAGCATGTTTTAAAGTGAGGGAAACTAATAATAGGCAAGTCAGACTGGGAGGATGAGGCCAGATGTACCTTCTGGCAGAGGAGGGTCAGGGCGATGGTGAATTGGATAGCCATCCCTGCTGCCGCATTGCTGGCCACACACCTTGTACTCCCCTGGGCCCGGCTGGGGCTGTGGGCTCCAGCCAAGGTCACAGTCAGGCTCGGCCGTGGCCTCCACTTCCCAGGCACAGGCTCACCAGCGTTCCCAGGAATTGGTGTGATTCTGGCAGTCCTTGCCTACACTGTCATGAGGGCAAGCGAGGGGTTCGCAAGGCCCTGCAGGAGTGGGGCTGCAGCAGCGGGAGGGAACCCCTCCGGATGAAGCTCAGGCAAGCAGCCCTGGAAATGTGCAGGGAACAGAGCATGTTGCATGCATTACCTTGAGTCCAAGATTTTTGTGACAAGAGGGTGGAAAATGTGACCCCCCCTGTACTGCCTTCTGTTTGGTGATAATGGAAGGGACAAGGCAGGGTGATGGAGAGGAGGGGCTGGACAGAGGCACCAGTCTAAGACGAGAGGTCAGCAGCTGAGGGCTTCCGCGGGGCAGGGCTGTGTGGGATGTGGAGCCTTGGAGGGCGTCCCAGCAGCAGCTACCGCCCCCTTCCCCCGCGCGTGGCCAGCCCTCTGTGCCGACGCTGGACAGCATGCTCCTGAAGGTGCTGCTGCTTCTAGGGCTCGCTGTGCTGGGCACTCATGTCTGGACGATTCAAAAGGAATTTGTAAATGTTAATAAGAACCACGATTATTTTGTGGCATCTGTGGAGTTTGCCGTGGCTCGGTTCAATGACGACAATATGGAAGAGAATGCATACAGGTTGCTGGAGGTCGGGCGAGCCCAGCAGAAGGTAAGTGGCAGTAATTCTGTCCATGCCCGGATTCTGGTCCCGGGATGAACAGCCCTGAGGCAGGTGTGATGTCAGCAGGGCTCTGATGTGGGGGGTCCCACCTCTGCACCACACTCCTGAGGAGACTGGAGGATCACCTCCTCTCTGCACACAGCGCACCAGCTTCCTTCAGGCTTCCCTGTTTCCTGACCCTCTGCCTCTTCCTTGGGCTGCATCTCAGCCCTGGACCCGGGGAGGTCCCAGGAGACCCTCGAGCACTGATGCTACTGCTGCTGCCCTAGCCCCTGAGCCCCCGTCCTAGCTGCAGGGGAGCTGGGCGTGTGTGAGTGTGTGTGTGTGTGTGTTGGGGCACGAGTGGGTATCAGGTGTCAGCTGCAGGAATTCCTGAGTCCCAAATGAAATCAGCTTTCTAGACAATTCCAGGTCAGTCCAGTAGAGGTGGGTTCCTCCTCATGGTGATTTCTCTCCATGTTTGAGTTCTTCCCAAATTTTTATGAACTTCTATTTAGGGAAACGAAATCACACCTTTTAATAACTTCTTATAGAAGCCTAATGAGCACCCAGAACAGCACCTGATTCATAAATCTGCGCCTCAGTGAACGTCTGCAAGAGGAGCCCTTGAGTGCAGCCGTTTCCCACGCGAAGAGACCGAGTGCTCCCAGCCCCCGGGACCCCCTGTATCCCCACGTAGATGCTTCCCCTGAAAGGGATAGCCCAGGTCTGGGGGCTAATCAGTGGCCAACCCACTCGTTATCCTCTTCTCTATAGAAGGCGTCGTTCTGCGTGCGCGCTGTGTCTGGCTGATGCTGCTCAAGCGTCGACTGAGAGACTGGGCATGCTGTCAGGTGTTGCTGCAGTGTGTGTGGGCTCACTGCTGTGGAGCTGAAATCCTGTGAACGTGCCACCCTGTGTGTTCATGGCACTGTCCCTGTGACCGCCAGGTGTAGGCCACGGGAGGAGAGTGGAAAGGAAGATTCCAGTGCATGCTCTAGGTGCATGTAGGGACACCTTTCTGTTGATTATGTGCTTATAGAGAAATTGCACATGATTTGTACATCCTATTTATACGCATGTTCTAGTCTTTTGCCCACTTTTCTACTTGATTTTCTGCCTGTTTCTCATTCATGAAAAGCAAATATTTAGCAGCTGTTTTATAATTTCTTCTTGACAGAGGTGGACAATGATATTTTTAATGGACTTGGAGATCGGCCGCACAATTTGTAAGAAACACAGTAAAGACATTGACAACTGCCCCTTCAAAGAAGGCCCAGAGGAGAAACAGGTTTGAGAATAAAATCAACCCAAAGCATCACGAATCTTCTGGGAATGAAATATAATATCAAGGAAGGTGTCTTAGAAAAACCTACAGTCTTCGTGTGTGTCTCCTTTACTCCTCATACAGGACACTTTGCGTCTCCAAATACGTGGGGTTTTTCCCCCACCAAGTCATTATCTGTGACACCAGCTCTCTACCTGGAGATAGCGTCAGATCCCACAGGTTAAGGGGTCAGTCCCACAAAACTCGCCCCCCGCATTCAGATACCAATCTCAAGTAGCGGATCCCCAGGTTACCCACAACATCTGTCTAATTTGGCTACAAAACAGAGGTTCCCATGACCCCACGTCAGGTTCGATTAATTTGTGAGAGCAGCTCACAGAACTCAGGGAAACATTTATAATGTTTACCAGTTTATTAAAGGCTGTGATAAAGGAGACCAATGAACGACCAGATGAAGAGATACAAAGGGCGAGGTCTGGGAGGGCACCAGGCACAGGGGCTTCTGTTCCTATGCAGCTGGGGGTGTGTCACCCTCGCTGTGTGGATGTGTTCACCCACCTGGAAGCTCCCTGAAACCCCCGCTATTGGGATTTTTATGGAGGCTTCCTCATGTAGGCATGATCAATTATTAACTCCATTTCTAGCCCCTCTCCTCTCTCTGGAGGATGAGAGGGGAGGCCGAAAATTCCAAGTTCTAATCTTGGCTTAGTCTTTCTGGTGACCAGCCCCCATCCAGGAGCCACCCAGGAACCCACCCAGAGTCACCTCATTAGAACAAGACATGCTCCTAGTGTGCTTATTACTTGGGATTTACAAGGGTTTTAGGAGCTCTGTGCCAGGAACTGGGGGCAGAGACCAATGTATATATTTTTTATATTCTCACATCAGGCCTAAGGGAGGAGGCTAGGAGAGTCATCAGGGATGTTCCTGGGGCAAAATGAAGGTCCTGGCCACTCTCCCACCAGGTCCCAGGCTCCCTGCTGGAGGGAGAAGGAGGTCATTCTAAGCAGAGAGAGCTGCTTCTAGCAGAGCAGTGAGCTGAGCCTGTGCTCACAGCGCAGCTGGTCAACCAGAGATACCCTGCAGACACCCACATGACCTTCCTGCCTGGATGGTGCCCTCCCCCAGGTCCCAGCCTTGAAGCTTCCTGAGAGCTCAGGGCTCAGGCAGAGGATGATTTCCCTGTGGTCCGCACTCATCCTTTCCTCCTGCATTTTGGGTTGGGAGGACTGTTTAGTTTGTCTGGACATCCCACCTCTCCCTCTAGTCTCCTGGGCTGCAAAGTCATGTCCCTGTCAGTTCGAGTTCTCGTGTCACATCCTATGAGCTGACATCTGGTCCACAGGACTGGCAACATGGAATGGGCCTTAGTCAGGGAGACACCCTCAGTGGGATTGGTCTCCCCACAAGCCCAGACTTGGGGCAGCCTCCCTTTGGGTGGGTTTGCAGCTGTCGTTGAGTGGGGGGCTGCCCAGCTGGACCATCTCCTGGGCAGTGTGCGGGCTCCCTCAGCGCTCACAGTGCGGGGACTATCCATGCAGTATCTTGCACACTGGGAAGGACCCTGAGGGTCGGGTGATGGCCCCACTAGGCGCCCTCTCAGGAGCCCCTGTCCTAGGTGGGTAGATCCAGTCACCCCTGCCCATCATCCTGGTGGAGACTTGAGCTTCTCAACCCTGCCCCAGATGACTGTTTTTGCTTTTCTTTCCTCTTGTAGCTTTTAATGCATCTCAAGCTCTGGTCAGTTCTTCATACTAAGTGCTCTCACTGTATTGTACTGTCCTGATTTATGTCCTGTGATTACTGTTTTTCAGGTGGACTGCACTTTTATTGTGGATGCTCGACCCTGGTTTTCCCAGTTCACCCTCCTGAACAGCACCTGTGTGTAGAAATAGACGGGGCAGGAGCTGTGGCTTCTCACAGCAGAAGTTCCTTTTCTGCTAGAGGGTGAGAGTCGGCCTGCAGTCACAGGTCTGTGCAGCAGCAAGGGAAATAAAGGCATCTCAGAGCACTTTCTGTGTCCCTGTCGGTTTTGCACTCTCCTGGATTGTTTATTTTCCATGAATGTCGCTGCCAGTGACAAGTGGTGGAGAATTTGTCATTATAGCTCTTACCTGGGCTGCAGGTGCAGAGCGCTGAGTACCAATCTCCCCAGTTCATGCGAGCCTGCCCCTACTGGTTCTGGTAGGGCCCCGCTGGATGGTTTGTGGACTCATTCCTTCATTCACTCTTCCATTTGTTCATTCATTCATTCTGCAATCCCTCCCTGCCCCTCATCCATTCCATTCAAAAAGAATGCAGACACTTTTGCCAGGCAGCAGCCATCTGCCTCCCCTCTGCTCCCATCTCCGGGGCCTGGCTCACAGAGGGGGTGCTTCTGCAGCTGGGCCATGCTTGGACACAGGGGTGGGAGGGGGGTGACTGAAGCTGTTGGAGGCTCTGCCCTCCTTGGATGCCCATCAGGGGCATCTGTACCAGGAGCTGCCTGACTGATGAGATTGTCTTCTCCAGGGTCTCTGGGGATGGCTCAGGATGTGGCAGCTCCAGTCACCATGTCCCCACATGCTCCCTGAGGTCTTTATTCGCCCATTAGGGCCAGCCTGGCCTCCATGGCTGTCAACACCGATCACTCCTCCTGGGACAGGCACCGTGGAGACAGACACCCACCCTGATGAGCAAGTCTCTCTTGTAGGGTCCTGGTGAGGAGCAGCCCTGGAGGGACAGAGGGATGGAGGGCGTGGAGGGTACAGGGGCATGACTGGGAGAGAGAGGCAGTGGCAATGCCATCTGGGGGAACACTTCAGAATGGAGGGCTGAGGGGTCTTCCCTCTTCCCCACTGGGTTACTGGGGACCTGATTTGAGTGTCCCTGGTTGAAAGTCTGCCCCTTTCCTGGCTGATATATTCCCATGATGTTGCTGTAAGCATTAATGCAATAGATTTCTCTACACAGCTGTGGGCAACCCCTTTGGGCCCAGCACAGAGATGGTGGCCTGAGCCAGCTTTGGTCCTTTGACGGACCTGTGAATAGGATTTCTAACATCTCCCCACAATTTGATAGGGGCATATACAAACTTACAAGGGTAGGTGTGTTGTCAGCAAAGCTGGCCTATTTCCTGCCCTTGACTTGAGAACACTTGAGCTCAGTGGGGTCAAGCCATTGTTCACGGATCCCATGCTAGCCAAGGACAGCCAGACCCTCCCTGAGTGCTAGTCCGTGCTGCTCACAGGTGGACACCTATACTTCAACTCCCACTTCCATCGGGAAGGCCTGGGGTCTTACTCTTTCCAATTTGTCATGGTTTGAGCTCAGATGTACCTTAAGTGCACCAGGGGTCTTTACAAATGTTCCCTGCATTCGCGCCGTGACTCTCAGCGTTAGGACCCAGACGCTGGATGATTTGAAATCCTCCACTGCTGATCCCAGGGAGCCTCCTGTTGGGCACCAGGGTATGAATGAAGGTGCCAGATTCTGACAGTGGTCTGTCACTGGTTGCAGCTCTCAACAAATGTGGCATTAGAAACATAGCCTTTTGTGAACTGAAGGCCACGGCTTTGCTTTTTTATGAAAGTTACAATAGTTCTACTCACGGTGCCCCCTCTTCTCATGGTGTCAAGATAAGGGGAACAACACTTCCCAGGGCCTGCGGGAGAGCAGTCAAAGCCCTGACCCTGGGGGAGCTTAGAGCAGGAGTCAGTAACTGATAGACCCTGCAGGTAAAAATGAGAAGATACACACAGTAGTTAGGAGTCCATTTAACAAATTTGATTTTTGGTTACCGTCAGGAGTTGAGCTAAGCTACTCCATGGTCTTGCTGCCTCAGCAACCACCTGGTGTGGCCAAGTGGCCCGCAGCAGCCTGAAACTGACACAGGCCCCTCGTACAAGCATGTGCCCTGGAAAGCAGCCGGCAGTCACAGCAAATGTAAGTTCCTGTATGGCTTCCCAGCAGCCCTGTGATCAGCAGCCTCCCGGGGCTTCCCTTTGTGACAGTAGAAAAGGGAGCTTATCATTGTTGTGGAGCTTATCACAGCCTGCTCTGCCTTTTTGGTTTGAATTGACCAATCTGGCCTTAACCTGGGAACCCCACCCACGGACACTCATAAAGGCGTGGGCCTCAGGTCCTGCCTCTCCCTGTCTGCACTGTGTCTTGACTTTCCCGTGTGGCTCCTGGAGGTGTGCCATGTACTTCCTCCAGGGCCTGTGAGCAACAACCTTCTCTATTTCAGTTTCTCCTGTGGTCCATTGTTGAACCCAGACTCACCATCAGGCACTCTGTGCCACTTAACAAGCGTTAATTTGACAAATTCATAAGAGCTAAATAGAACATTTACCAAAACTGCACAACATGCATTCTTTTGAGCTGATAGAACATTTATCCAAATTGAGTATATTCTGATCCATAAGGCAAATCTCAACGAATTCCAAAGAACTGATATCACATAGAACAGGTTCTCCAGCCACAGTGAAGTTTAGGTAGAAATTAAGGAGACAAATGTTTGAAAACTCAGCCACACACCTCTAAATAACAAGTGGGCTGGAGAAGCAATCTCAGTGCAGATTAGGGTATATTTTTAAAGTAAATCATTAAAATCTTATGGTGTAACAAACACATGAGATATGGCTGACGTCCAGCTCCGAGGGCTGCACACGTGCCTGGACACTCACGTGCCTGAGGAGGGACAGGATGATGACCCATAATCTAAGTCTCTCCTTTCAAGAATGGAAGGAAATTATAACAAAAAAAGTGTAAATGAGTGAAAGAGGAAACAGAAGTTGATAGAGGATCAAGAAATCCAACAGTTGATCCTTTAGAAAGTCTAATAAAATAGCTAACCCCTGGAAAGAGAGTTCTAGAAATGGAGAAGGTAGTCATAGCCCACATCAGGAATGAAAAAGGAGCCTCATTACAGGTCCTGCAGATCTGGAAAGATGACAGTGAACACCATAGCCCAGCTGCTGCCGGCCCAGTGAAGAGCAGCAAGCCCTGGGCGCCTGCAGCCTCTGGGGTGGGAGCAAACACCTAGGCTGCGACACACTTTGAAGCAGGTTGCCGCGTCCTCATGGTGATCGCCCTGAAGGGGTCCACTGTGTTCCTTAGACCCCACACCACTGCCATCCATTGATGTGTGACCGCGAAGGTGGTCACAAGGGTGTCCTCTATTCGGTCTACACTCCCTTCTCTTCCTGTGCTAGCCCCAGTCCTGTCCTTCCCCACCACCGTGGCCCAGGCTCTGTACTCTTTCTGGGACCTCCATCAAAGTACAGGTGTCCGTTTTCCCCAGGCTGGAGGCAGGAAAACTGTTGCAGAGTAGAGTGCCCTCACGCACGTGGGTGACATGTCAGGCTTTCCCGGCCCACTGGCTCCCCTTGCCTTGTTCATGAACCAGGCAGGGCACGCATCGGTACCACGGTCCCTCTGAGGAGAACTTGACATGGCGACATGGCAAAGGCCATGGGAGCACAAAGTGACAGAGCTGCGTGAGAATGCATGACAGCTGGGCTAGGCAGGGCTGCCCTTCCCCTGCCCTGACACCTTCTCATGCCCGTGGCTGCCATTCACCTCCATTCCAGCAGAGTCTTGCCCCAGACTAGCTTCCCTTTGGTCCTGGACGTTCTCTCTGCCCACCTCAGGATGTTAGAAACCCCTCTCCCCTCTGCCAAGCACAGCCAGGCCTCATGACAAGTAGGTCAGCAGGTGCCAGAGGTGGTAGATGATGCCCGCCCCCCCTCGCCCTGGTACCCTCCTGATGCTGCTGAGGTTGTGGGTTGCAGCCAAGGTCAGAGGTAGACCTGGTTTTTACCTCAACTGCTCAGGACTCAGGGCTCACCAGTGTTCCTAAGAATTTCTGCGGCTCTGCCAGTCTTGGGATGCACTGCCACGAGGGCAAGCAAATGGGCTCAAGACCCCCAGACAGGCCCCATCAGGGTTGGGCTGGGGCACGAGGAGGCAGCCCTGGAAATGTGCAAGGAACAGCGTGTGTTGCTTGCATGTCCCTGGGTCCAAGGCTTATGTGACAAGGGGGTGGAAAATGTGAGTCATGTTCTGCCTTCCGTTTGGTGATGATGGGAGGGACAAGGCAGGGAGTGGAGAGGAGGAGCTGGTCAGAGGCGCAGGTCAGCAGCTCCAAGCCTCTGCGGGGCAGGGCGGCGTGAGACGTGGAGCAGTGGAGGGCAGCCCAGCAGCAGCCGCCACCCCCGCCTGCCCTTGTGCTGCTGGCCTCTGGGGCTGATGCTGGACACCATGCTCCTGCAGGTGCCTCTGCTCCTGGGGCTCATTGTGCTGGGGCCTCATGTCAACAGCTGGGGCTTTGTGGACATCAGCAAGAGCACAGATTTCTTCCGCATGTGTGTGGAGTTTGCTAAGTTTCAGTTCAACCAAGCCCAGCCGGATGAGTATGCCTACAAGCTGCTGTGGGTGCGGCGAAGCCAGCGCAAGGTGAGTGGCTCATCTCCCCTCCCTAGGCTCCACGTTCACGCCAAAACCAGGCCTGGGGGGGTCAAATCCTTGGTCTGCAGGAAATAACAGTGGATGTTCTAACTTGGTAAATATTTTTTAAGAATACAAGATATCATCAGATGTGTTCCAAGTTTCCTTTTGTTTCCTTAATGTGTGGAGTCCTTGAAAAACAGGGTAGAGAGGAAGGCAGGTCAGCAGAAAGGAAAGCATTCAAGTCAGAGATTCAGGTGTGGTGTGTGGGGAGAAAAACAGCGCCCCTTATGAGATGGTGGAGAGAACGAGAACAGAGAGAGAGACCGGTAACGAGAAAGACAGAGAAGCGGTAGCCGAAACAGAAACCCGAGGAGGAAAGGCATCCCAGAGGATAGCTGACCACAGCCCTCCGCGGGGCTCCAGGGAGCCTTGTGGGGCCCATCAGCGAAGCCCGATGCTGAGGTGATGCTCCTGCATGAAGCTGTTGGCTTTGGCTGCGCAGCCACTGTGGGTCCGGGCCTGGGTGGGAGGTGGCAGAGACGACAGATGTGTTCTCGTGGGATTGTTTTGCTGGTGACAAGAGGCAAACAGACCCCAAGTTCATGAGTGAAATAGTGTAAGGCAGGGACAACAGCAGTCAGTGAAGGGACCCAGGGCTGAGAGGAGGTGAGGAACATGGGGAGTGGTCACAGAAGGCCTCTGTATGACAGACACTCCTGGAAGGACCCAGCCACATGGAGGTTTGGGGAGGAGAAGGACAGGCAGCCACAGAGAGGCCCCTGGACCAGGAAAGCCACAAGTGCCCAGGAGGATGGCCTGAAAGTCTTAGAGTGATGGGGATCAATGGGGGGAAGTCACTCAGGTGCTTTAGCAAGCATCTCTCTGGACCCTGTGGGCTCAGTGGGCTCCACAACCTCCCGGCAAGCTGAGGCCAGGGTGCAGGGGATGGTCCCCTGGTCATCAGGAGGTATAAGAAATGCTGGCTTCTGAGTCTGCTTGGAGGTCGATGTGGGGTGCACTGATGTGGGGTGCACTGATGTGGGGTGTGAGAGAAGAGCAGAGTCACGGACGGGCCACAGGTGTTTGCCCCGAGCACATGGGTGAATGGTGACTCTATCAACTGAAAAGACAATAGAGTAAGGGGGGGACATGAAAGGATCTGGGCAGGCCACACCACATTTAGGATTCCTGAAACAGCCATGGTCCAGAAGGCAGTGGGTTATAGAGTCATAAGAGTAGAGAAGAGACTGGGCCTGATGTAAATGTAGGTGTCGTTATCATCTGGTTATGCCAACCTTTCCCACTGATGCTTATTCTGACCACTTCCTGCTTCCCTTGAATGGAATAAAGACTATTGACCACGAGTCATTCTGTCCGTGCCTGGATTCTGGTCCTGGGATGAACAGCCCTGAGGCAGGTGTGATGTCAGCAGGGCTCTGATGTGGGGGGTCCCACCTCTGCACCACACTCCTGAGGAGACTGGAGGATCACCTCCTCTCTGCACACAGCGCACCAGCTTCCTTCAGGCTTCCCTGTTTCCTGACCCTCTGCCTCTTCCTTGGGCTGCATCTCAGCCCTGGACCTGGGGAGGTCCCAGGAGACCCTCAAGCACTGATGCTACTGCTGCTGCCCCAGCTCCTGAGCCCCCGTCCTAGCTGCAGGGGAGCTGGGCGTGTGTGAGTGTGTGTGTGTGTGTGTTGGGGCACGAGTGGGTATCAGGTGTCAGCTGCAGGAATTCCTGAGTCCCAAATGAAATCAGCTTTCTAGACAATTCCAGGTCAGTCCAGTAGAGGTGGGTTCCTCCTCATGGTGATTTCTCTCCATGTTTGAGTTCTTCCCAAATTTTTATGAACTTCTATTTAGGGAAACGAAATCACACCTTTTAATAACTTCTTATAGAAGCCTAATGAGCACCCAGAACAGCACCTGATTCATAAATCTGCGCCTCAGTGAACGTCTGCAAGAGGAGCCCTTGAGTGCAGCCGTTTCCCACGCGAAGAGACCGAGTGCTCCCAGCCCCCGGGACCCCCTGTATCCCCACGTAGATGCTTCCCCTGAAAGGGATAGCCCAGGTCTGGGGGCTAATCAGTGGCCAACCCACTCGTTATCCTCTTCTCTATAGAAGGTGTCGTTCTGCGTGCGCGCTGTGTCTGGCTGATGCTGCTCAAGCGTCGACTGAGAGACTGGGCATGCTGTCAGGTGTTGCTGCAGTGTGTGTGGGCTCACTGCTGTGGAGCTGAAATCCTGTGAACGTGCCACCCTGTGTGTTCATGGCACTGTCCCTGTGACCGCCAGGTGTAGGCCACGGGAGGAGAGTGGAAAGGAAGATTCCAGTGCATGCTCTAGGTGCACATATGGACATGGTTTTGTAAGAGAAATGGAGAATTAAGAGGAAAAAGCAAAATAATAAATCAATTAACAAATATAAACAAGAGAAATTGCATATATGTTTATCCCTATTTATATGCATATGCACATTCACATATTTTGCCCACTTTTCTATTTGGTTCTCTGTCTTTTTCTCATTATTGCAAAGTATTTCCCAGTAATTTCTCCAATTTCTTCTCGACAGCAGTATTCTTGGATATATTTAATGGAATTGGAGATGGGCCGCACAGTCTGTAAAAAACACGATGAAGACATCGACAACTGCCCCTTGCAAGAAGGCCCAGGAGAGAAACAGGTTGGAGAATAAAATCAACCCAAAGCATCACAAATATTCTGGGAATGAAAAATAATATCAAGGAGCATCTGTCGGGGGACATTAGGAGAGTCATCAGGGATGCTCCTGGGGCAGAATGAAGGTCCTGGCCACTCTCCCACCAGGTCCCAGGCTCCCCGCTGGAGGGAGAAGGAGGTCATTCTAAGCAGACAGAGCTGCTTCTAGCAGAGCAGTGAGCTGAGCCTGTGCTCACAGCCCAGGTGGTCAACCAGAGATATCCTGCAGACACCCACATGACCTTCCTGCCTGGATGGTGCCCTCCCCCAGGTCCCAGCCTCGAAGCTTCCTGAGAGCTCAGGGCTCAGGCAGAGGATGCTCTCTGTCTCTCAAGGTCATGTCCCTGTCAGTCTGAGTTCTCCTGTCACATCCTATGAGCTGACATCTGGTCCACAGGACTGGCAACGTGGGATGGGCCTGAGACACCCTCAGTGGGACTGGTCTCCCCACAAGCCCAGCCTTGGGGCAGCCTCCCTTTGGGTGGGTTTGCAGCTGTCGTTGAGTGGGGGGCTGCCCAGCTGGACCATCTCCTGGGCAGTGTGCTGGCTCCTTCAGCACTCAGAGTGCGGGGACTATCCATGCAGTATCTTGCACACTGGGGAGGACCCTGAGGGGCAGGTGATGGCTCCACCAGGCACCCTCTCAGGAGCCCCCATCCTAGGTGGGCGGATCCAGCCACCCCTGCCCATCATCCTGGTGGAGACGTGAGCTTCTCAAGCCTGCCCCAGATGACTGTTTTTGCTTTTCTTTCCTCTTGTAGCTTTTAATGCATCTCAAGCTCTGGTCAGTTCTTCATGCTAAGTGCTCTCACTGTGTTTTATTGTCCTGATTTATGTCCTGTGATTACTATTTTTCAGGTGGACTGCACCTTTGTTGTGGATACTCGACCCTGGTTTTCCCAGTTCACCCTCCTGAACAGCACCTGTGTGTAGAAATAGATGGGGCAGGAGCTGTGGCTTCTCACAGCAGAAGTTCCTTTTCTGCTAGAGGGTGAGAGTCGGCCTGCAGTCACAGGTCTGTGCAGCAGCAAGGGAAATAAAGGCATCTCAGAGCACTTTCTGTGTCCCTGTCGGTTTTGCACTCTCCCGGATCGTTTATTTTCCATGAATGTCGCTGCCAGTGACAAGTGGTGGAGAATTTGTCATTATAGCTCTTACCTGGGCTGCAGGTGCAGAGCGCTGAGTACCAATCTCCCCAGTTCATGCGAGCCTGCCCCTACTGGTTCTGGTAGGGCCCCCGCTGGATGGTTTGTGGACTCATTCCTTCATTCACTCTTCCATTTGTTCATTCATTCATTCTGCAATCCCTCCCTGCCCCTCATCCATTCCACTCAAAAGGAATGCAGACACTTTTGCCAGGCAGCAGCCACCTGCCTCCCCTCTGCTCCCATCTCCGGGGCCTGGCTCACAGAGGGGGTGCTTCTGCAGCTGGGCCATGCTTGGACACAGGGGTGGGAGGGGGGTGACTGAAACTGATGGAGGCTCTGCCCTCTTTGGATGCCCATCAGGGGCATCTGTACCAGGAGCTGCCTGACTGATGAGATTGTCTTCTCCAGGGTCTCTGGGGATGGCTCAGGATGTGGCAGCTCCAGTCACCATGTCCCCACATGCTCCCTGAGGTCTTTATTCGCCCATCAGGGCCAGCCTGGCCTCCATGGCTGTCAACATCAATCACTCCCCTTGTGACAGGCACCCTGGAGACAGACACCCACCCTGATGAGCAAGTCTCTCTTGTAGGGTCCTGGTGAGGAGCAGCCCTGGAGGGACAGAGGGATGGAGGGCGTGGAGGGTACAGGGGCATGACTGGGAGAGAGAGGCAGTGGCAATGCCATCTAGGGGTACACTTCAGAATGGAGGGCTGAGGGGTCTTCCCTCTTCCCCAATGGGTTACTGGGGACCTGATTTGAGTATCCCTGGTTGAAAGTCTGCCCCTTTCCTGATCAACCCGTTCTCATGAAGTGGTCATATGCTCTGATGGGACAGGGTTTCCCAAGACAGCTGGGGACAGCTCCATTGGGCACTGCAGAAAGACAGTGGCCTGGATCAGCTTTGGTTCTTTTGACCGACCTGTGTGTAGAGTTTGTAACAACTCCCCACACATTGATAGGGGCGTGTATAAACTTACAAGGGTTTGTCTGTGTGGTCAGCAAAGCCGGCCTATTGCCCACCTTGGCTATGAGAGCACTCAGGTTCCAAAGGGTCGAGCCATTGTTCATGGGTCAACGACAGCCAGCTCTCCCTGAGCACTAGGTGGTATTCCTCGCAGGTGGCAGCACTGTCACTGCCACCTCCCATTTCACATCAGGAAGGCTGGAGGTCCTGCTCTTTTCACCATATGTCAGTTGTTGTCTACCTTCATCCACTTGAAACCTTATTGCTGTTATTTTACAAATCTAGAGATCAGGCCCTACCTGACAGCATCTCTATTACAGAAGAATCTCCGTGACCCAATGTCAGAAATGCGTGAAGTCCCGGATGATTAGCACTTGTAGCCACAGTTTGGAAATGGTTCTCTAGGGAGCTCCAATATTTAGAAATGGTGTAAATTGCAGTTAGTGTATTTTGTTTGTGGCCTGTGTCTTTCCTCTGGTTCCTGCTCTCACAGAATATGGGATTAAAAACACGGCCCATTCACTGAGTTGATGCTCACAGGGCATGGGCTGTGTAAGGGTCTTCGGTAGGGTTGGTAAATTTTGTGCCTGCCACTATTGTCATTGATGAACCCACATTAGCAGTTTTTGAACGATGCATCACTCTCTAAAGGCAGTCAGAACCAAGAGCAGCCTGTCCTGTGTCATTGTGTTCTAGAGAGATCTCTCCAGATTAACCCCGTCACTAGTTGTCCCAAGTCAGTAGGGAGTGAAAATATACTTGAAAGTTATAATACAATCACACAATAGAAAAACTGACACGTATTTCAGGAATCATTGATTTCCACGAAACCTAGAATGTTTTATGGGATTACTTGGTTTGAAGGAGCAAGATTCTTTGGAATATATTTGCTGAGACCCCTCCTGAAATGGGGGCTTAACCCAAATCTCAGCGCTGGGCTCCTCAGGAGAAGCCTCAAAGGGGGAGGGAAGAAGGTGGAGGAGGAAGAGGAGAGCCGTGCTCCCTGCGGGGTGTCTGTGGTAAAACCGTTGTGATGCGATTATCTCTGCCAATCCTCACCACCAGCTCCCTTTCCCATTTCCATGTCAGGGCACTGGCAGCTAAGTCTCAGGGTTCCTTACTGTGATTTTCTGGAAGTGAGCTCAAAGATCTAGTCCAGCACCCCATCACCCATTTCCCTTTAACTCTTTGGTTTCCAAACACAAAAGTCCACAGGCATTAGCAAAGAAACGAAGGCTAAGAAACACTTGTAACCGGCCACTTGTTATTTCTGTGGTGCTTTCCAAACATCATTTTCAGAGCAGAATCAGCTGCCACAGAAACTGCTGTTGTTCATCGGCTTCCCTGTCCTCTCTTCTGAGGCCACGTTGTCCGCCCAGGAACAGCATCAGCGGGTCAAAACCAACAAGCCAGTGTCCCAAGCCATCACATTCATCAGGACGAGCCCCTCACCTCTGTCTCCAAGTGCCCCACACTAGGGCGCCGTCCCTCAGCATCGGCCCAGTCTCTCCCCGCACCCCACAGACCCTGTACAATTTCCTCTCCTTCCTCTCCTAGTCTCTTTGCTGCACCTCACTTTCAGACTCTGCTTTTCTTTAAATGATGACATCTGTGATCTCCGAAATGGTCTATATTTTATGAGGCTCTTTCCTGTGGCTTCCAGCCTGTGCAGAGCTGTCAGATAAATATAAAATATTATCCAATCATGCAAAGCCTCAAATCAGTTCTATGTTTTTAAAACACAGAATGTTCAGCACTCAATCAGAAACAGTCAGAAAAAAAGACAAGATTTGATGGATAAATCAAGAGCAAAAATAGACAATAGAAACAAATATCAAAAAATATTTAGACACTGTAGTAATTAGATATGGACTTTAACGTACTCAGGATGAATAGAGTCAAAGAATTAAAAGATAGATAATACTGGCAAAGGAGTAGAGACTATCAAAAAGGGGCCGGCCCTGTGGCTTGGTGGTTGAGTGCGCGCGCTGCGATGCTGGTGGCCCGGGTTCGGATCCCGGGTGCGCATCGAGGCACCACTTCTCCGTTCATCCTGAGGCCGAGTCCCGCATACAGCAACTAGAAGGATGTGCAGCTACGACATACAACTATCCACTGGGGCTTTGGGGGGAAAAAATAAAAAAATAAATAAAATCTTTAAAAAAAAAAAACAAACTATCAAAAAAGAATGAAAAGAAAGTCCTAGGACTGAAAAATACGGTAAATGAAATGAAAAATGCGACAGGCAGGTTGGCCTCAGGTTAGGGACAGCTGAGGGGAGAATGGGACGCCGGGAGGCAGTCCAGAGGAGATGGTGCGGGAGGGAAAGCGTCAGAAGAGCACCGCGAGATCTGCCTGGAGGGGCAAGAGGGAGAGAATGGGGCAGAAGCAGGGTTTGAAAATGTAAAGCCTGAGTTTTCTAGAACTAACCAAAGACATCAAGCCATTGATTTAAGCAGTGTCACAAACTACAGGCTGGATATAATAAAAGAGACCCACAGCTGAGCGTGAAAGAGTTCAAAATCAAATTTTAGGATAAAAATCTTGAAATCAGCCAGAGATAAAAAGATATTTTATCTTCAAATAAGCAACCATCAAGCTTTCAGCCGAGCTCAGGTGGGACAGAAGGAACGTCAGAAGGTACTGTTGTGCATCTTCTAAGAGCTGAAGGAAATTAACCACGGACCTAGACTTCCTCGGGTAGCAAAACTCTCTCTCAAATACGCGTACAAACCAAAGTTATTTTAAACAAACAAAATGGGATGTTTTTGTTGCCAGTATAATCGTTCTAAAATAAATGCTAAAGGGAATTCTCTGGGCAGAAGGGAAAAAATCCCAGATGGAAAAATAGTATGGTAGGAAGACAGAAAGAACACCCCAAAGGGTAAATATGTAGATAAACCTAGATGATACATTGACTGTAAAAAATGATATTGTGTTGAAGATTGTAAAGTATATATGGAATTAGTATAGATGAAAATAACAGCACAAAGCTGGGAGAGGAGTAAACGTAGCTAGAATGATATAAATGGACTGAATGCTCTAATTAAAAGACAAATTTAGTTGACTGGTGGAAAAGTAAAAGAACACACACAAAAAAGGAAACACATGTTAGATACAAGAACATAGAGATTTTGGAAAAATAAGGCTGGATTAAGGTATACTATGCCAACGCTAACCAAAAAATGTCAGTGGAGCAGTATAATATCCAATAAAGTAAACTCAGACAAGAGGCACTGCCTGAAATAAAGATGGGTATTTTACTCATGAAAATGTCCATCTACTAAGAACATATAACAACTCTAAGTGTGTAGACACCGGTCTCGAAATAGTTAAAGCACAAAAGAAAGAATAAAAAGGAGAAATAATGAAATCCACAATCATAGGGAGAGACTAAAACACAACTCCACAGACTGAAAAAATGAACCCGACACAACAAATCAGTCAAGTTCCAAAATTCTGATAGAGAAGTTCTGAATGACACAATATCAAATTGTCCTTTTTGACTGATATGGAACATCACTGAAACACTGAACGCAAACACGTGCTCTTTTCAAGTGCACAGGAAACATTTTCAGAATTGATCAATTGTGTACCAAAAAATAATTCTCAACAAAATTCACAGACCTGATACCATGCAGACTGTTCTATAGCCACAGTGAAATTAAGCTAGAAATCAATAATAAAATGTTAGAGACTTCCTGAGCTCAGAAGAGGCTTCCCTCATTCGTTCCTGCAGAGCTTTTCCATCCCTGAAGTTGGCTCCCTCCTTGCAGGGAGCCCAAGATTAAGCGGGGTGGAGTTGGAGGATGTGCTGCTAAGAGAGAGATACTGTTGAGGGCTCTCTCCTGCTCCAGGGCAAAATCTCATGTGTAAACTTTCAGGCCTGACCACGGGTAAAAACAAAGGCTCTGCCTGGCCGGCTTCATGGGCGAAG